TGGTTTTCTGTACTTTGGCCTTGGCAAAGGGCGTCTTCTTCCATTCTTCGTCGAACTCGTCCTTCGTTGTGCCTTCGGAACAAATCGTGTCCTGCTTTCCCTCATCGTCCTTGCCTGCCTTTTGCCACGTCGTCACCACTTTCTTCCCAGGCAACCGGCGTTCGTGTGTCGCCTTCAACCGCCCGCTGGCATCTTCGTAGCGGCGTCGGATGCTCTGCACGATGCAGCCCTTGTCATCCGCCACGGACGAGCTAGAGTACGAGTAGCTGAACGATTGAGCTTTGTCATCAGCGTTGGTCGACACATCCTTGGTCTCCGGGGAGCCTTGAGCCACAACCGGTAAATCGCGGAAAAAATCGTCTGGCTCGTCGGAAGTCGATGGCGGGATGGCCTCCATGATGCAATAAGTTTGCACGGGCATGTCCACATTTGACAGGGCGTTCAAGTCCATCAACGATTGCTCAAGGCTAGTCAAGGGGTACCAATAGGACGGGTGCACAACGTCCCACATCGTCAGCGGCTGGTAGGCATTCAACATGTTGGTCATGGGCAAGGATTTGCAATGCTTCAGATCGATAGGGCGTCCGAGTGGGACGCGACATTGGACTTGTTGGAATAGCCCGTTTCAACGACTCGATGATTTTCGAGAAGCCCAACGACCTGTTCTCCTTCGCGTTTTTACAACACTTGCAACGTCTGCATCGGTGAACCTCGTGTTGGGTGCCATGTTCTCACTTTCGCATTTGCCGTCTCGACAACATCATGTTTCGCTACTACCAACCAATGTCAACCTGGGACGTTGTGCGCCCTTCCTATTGGTATCCCATGGCGAGCCTCGAGCAGTCCTTGATGGAACTGGACGCGATGGCCGACGAAATGCGGATGGCGTTCCCTTTGCGCTCCTACCGCCTCTTGTCCGCCCCGTCGCTGACTGAAGACGACGACTTTTTCCGCGACCTGCCCGTGGCGACCCGCGATACACAACCGTCCAAGGAAGTGTCTGGCGGAGACGAAGAATCCCGCGCGTTCTCCAACTACTCGTACTCGAGCTCGTCGGTGGTGGACGACAAGGGGCGCCGCGTGCAGAGCATCCGCCGACGCTACGAAGATGCGAACGGGCGGTTGAAGGCGGTCCACGAACGCTTGCTCCCTGGCAAGAAGATGGTGACGACGTGGCGCAAGCAAAACAAGGACGACGAGGGCAGCCAGGAGACCATTTGCTCGCAAGGCGTGTCGAAGGAAGAGTTTGAAGAGGAGTGGAAGAGCACTCCGTTTGCCAAGGCCCAAGAGTCGGCAAAGCCATTGGAAGGGGAGAAGCCCAAGGCCTTGCAAGGCGAGCAGTCGAAGGCCTCGGAAGGCGAGCAATCGAAGCAACAAGTGGCGGCTTAGTCGACTGCTGCTGGTGTGCAATAGTCTGACCCTGTATACGTGAATGTAGGATGAGATAACGATCAGAGGATCCAAGCTCGATATATTTGGTTGTTTTATTGATGCACGCGATTTCGTTAAAAGGAGTAGGAGGCCTGATTGTGATGTCTCTACCGTAAAGGTCTCTTGATTTGACCTAGGTATCGCTTGGTGGTGCCAAGGATGTCCGCAACATGATCACTTTGCGATCAGTGATACTTTTTGGCAAGGTTTTGGTTTACTCCGGCGTAGTTGAAGATACATACAGTAATTACATACATTCTGAAAAAGCGCGCCAACTAACAGTAAGCCATATTTACTTTTGGTTTCAAAGATGTAGTACATGCAGGGTCCGGTCGACGTCCACCGCTGTCATCTCGTCAAAAGTAAGCATTCATCACTAGGCTCATTGGAAGTGAAGCCATGCATGTTATCGACCATACTTGGTACCAGTTGCCACCAGTTTTAGCTGTATTCAGTCACAGGAAACGAATGCCACTCCTTCGAACCACGGCGGCCGCTTTGACACTTCAAAAACACCTTACCTGCTGAACACCAACGACTACCAGCCCTGATTTTGGTGCAAGTATGCTGCAGTATGGTGCCTCCCAACGGTACCACGAAACCCAGGCAGCCTCCCGACGTTTTCCAGGGCGACCTCCTTGTCGATGAAGCTGGCAATGTCGAGTTGCCAGAGGTAAACAACCACACAATTTATTCACATCTTACCAACTGGTAGGCATTCAGCATGGTCATTGACGCGGTTTAGGAACTAACCAACTTGATTGAGTGTTCACATGGGACCCGGCGTCGATTAGTTTGCAAGTTGGAGTAGTTAGCCCGTTGCAACTGCAAAATGCCCAACGACCTGTTCTCCTTCGCGTTTTTACAACACTTGCAACGTCTGCATCGGTGAACCTCGTGTTGGGTGCCATGTTCTCACTTTCGCATTTGCCGTCTCGACAACATCATGTTTCGCTACTACCAACCAATGTCAACCTGGGACGTTGTGCGCCCTTCCTATTGGTATCCCATGGCGAGCCTCGAGCAGTCCTTGATGGAACTGGACGCGATGGCCGACGAAATGCGGATGGCGTTCCCTTTGCGCTCCTACCGCCTCTTGTCCGCCCCGTCGCTGACTGAAGACGACGACTTTTTCCGCGACCTGCCCGTGGCGACCCGCGATACACAACCGTCCAAGGAAGTGTCTGGCGGAGACGAAGAATCCCGCGCGTTCTCCAACTACTCGTACTCGAGCTCGTCGGTGGTGGACGACAAGGGGCGCCGCGTGCAGAGCATCCGCCGACGCTACGAAGATGCGAACGGGCGGTTGAAGGCGGTCCACGAACGCTTGCTCCCTGGCAAGAAGATGGTGACGACGTGGCGCAAGCAAAACAAGGACGACGAGGGCAGCCAGGAGACCATTTGCTCGCAAGGCGTGTCGAAGGAAGAGTTTGAAGAGGAGTGGAAGAGCACTCCGTTTGCCAAGGCCCAAGAGTCGGCAAAGCCATTGGAAGGGGAGAAGCCCAAGGCCTTGCAAGGCGAGCAGTCGAAGGCCTCGGAAGGCGAGCAATCGAAGCAACAAGTGGCGGCTTAGTCGACAGCAGATGAGTCTGACCCAGTGTTTGTATGTTGTGATGAATGTAGGGCGAGATAACGATCAAAGGATCCAAGCTCAATATATATGATTCTTCTAGTTGAAAGTTGTAATGGGGTAGGGTGAATGGTGCCTAGATCATCGATGATCGTTTCGCTACTACCAACCAATGTCAACCTGGGACGTTGTGCGCCCTTCCTATTGGTATCCCATGGCGAGCCTCGAGCAGTCCTTGATGGAACTGGACGCGATGGCCGACGAAATGCGGATGGCGTTCCCTTTGCGCTCCTACCGCCTCTTGTCCGCCCCGTCGCTGACTGAAGACGACGACTTTTTCCGCGACCTGCCCGTGGCGACCCGCGATACACAACCGTCCAAGGAAGTGTCTGGCGGAGACGAAGAATCCCGCGCGTTCTCCAACTACTCGTACTCGAGCTCGTCGGTGGTGGACGACAAGGGGCGCCGCGTGCAGAGCATCCGCCGACGCTACGAAGATGCGAACGGGCGGTTGAAGGAAGGCGGTCCACGAACGCTTGCTCCCTGGCAAGAAGATGGTGACGACGTGGCGCAAGCAAAACAAGGACGACGAGGGCAGCCAGGAGACCATTTGCTCGCAAGGCGTGTCGAAGGAAGAGTTTGAAGAGGAGTGGAAGAGCACTCCGTTTGCCAAGGCCCAAGAGTCGGCAAAGCCATTGGAAGGGGAGAAGCCCAAGGCCTTGCAAGGCGAGCAGTCGAAGGCCTCGGAAGGCGAGCAATCGAAGCAACAAGTGGCGGCTTAGTCGACAGCAGATGAGTCTGACCCAGTGTTTGTATGTTGTGATGAATGTAGGGCGAGATAACGATCAAAGGATCCAAGCTCAATATATATGATTCTTCTAGTTGAAAGTTGTAATGGGGTAGGGTGAATGGTGCCTAGATCATCGATGATCGTTGTTAGGAAGTCTGCTCCATCGATGTTTTGTGTGTCGCCTCGCCACCCAAAACTAACACTCTGTATCGCATGCACTGTCGGTGCCATCGTGTTTGAAGTTGTCACTTTGCAACCTTTTTATGGCGTGTCCTTGAAGATACGTAAATATACATACATTCCGGCTCATTTGACTCAAGTATGCCTGCATTTACCGGCCCCACAAGCGACGATCTTGACCACTTTTGGTTTTCAAAGATGAAGTGCACGTTCCCCGTCGGGATGCTGGTCGCGACGTCTGTGGTGGCCACCACCAACGACCGCTGCCATTTATTCAACAACAAAGACGCATGCTTGGGCTCGTCGGAAGGGAAACCATGCTATTGGTGTGCCTCTGCTGCCGTGCCCAGCTCATGCTTTGACGAAGATGAAGCCGCCCAGTTGCCTCCGGCTGTGTTCCAGTGCATGAAGGAGGATGCCACTCCTGCGAATAGTGGCTGCCACTTTTACAATTCGGAAGCGTCTTGCCAGCAGAACACCGAAGGCGACAAGCCCTGCTACTGGTGCAAGTCCGCGGCGGTGCCATCCCAGTGCTACAACGAAACCGAGGCCGAGCAATTGCCCCCCGCCGTGTTCCAGTGCGACATGAAGAAGAAATCCCTCGTCTTTGAAGCTGACGTCGTCGATTTGGCCGCGGTAACGACGGACGCGTTCATTTCTGTCCTCTCGTTCTTGACTGGTGATGACAATAGCTGGCGACATCCGGTGGAATGGACGCTACTGTGTGGCCGTCGACGTGGTTGGGCCCTGTAAACCACGGATGCCACTTCTACAATTCCAAAGACTCGTGTATTCACAACACGGAAGGCGGGGAGCCATGCTACTGGTGCAAGTCGGCGGCTGTGCCGTCTATGTGCTACAACGAGACCGAAGCCAAGCTGTTGCCCCCTGCCATCTTTCAATGTGACAAGGAAGATAGCATCAACTGGGCTCTCACGGAGGTGCTGCCATCCCGTGCATTCAATCGTTTGGGCATGTATCATGACGACTAATCCTACTACGTACTGTAGATGCCTAGCCAAAACGCGTTGAACGCTCTCTTTCAACAGTGGCAAGCCAAGCACGGCGTCGCGTATCTCTCTGCAGAGGAACACCAGCAACGCACTGCGACCTTTCACGAGAATGCGCACGCTGTCGCAGCGCACAACCAGCACCCCCTCAAACGCTACTCGTTGGAATTAAACCAGTTTGCCGACACGACATGGTACTTAGTAGTGCAAAGTGACCTTCCATCCATGTTATTACTAAGCTTAGTTGACCTGTAGGGACGAGTTCAAGCAATTGTACTTGGGCGTGTCGAGTCCACAAAACTGCTCTGCCACGCACACTGCGCGGTACGTACACTGTTTAGATCTTGGACTACAATCGTGGCTAACCCACTGTTGCTTCCTAGCGTGGGTGGCCACACGAACGTCCCCGACGCCATCGACTGGCGTCGGTGGGATGCCGTGTCGCCCGTGAAAGACCAAGGCAAATGCGGCAGTTGCTGGTACAGTTGCCAGCTACTTTGGACCTTTTTTGGTTCTACTCCATGGATTTGTAGGACGTTTTCGTCGACGGGGTCGTTAGAAAGCCACAACTTGCTCACCCACGGCAAGAAAGTGCTGCTGTCCGAGCAAAACCTCGTCGACTGTGCCCAAGCCTTCGACAACCACGGGTGCAGCGGCGGCCTGCCATCGCATGCGTTCGAGTACATCAAGTACAACGGCGGACTCGACACTGGCGCGGTAGTTCCATCTCACGTTGCTTGAGTCGTGGCTTAGCAACTCACTTTGTAGTCGTATCCGTACCATGCCAAGGACGAACCGTGCAAGTTTTCTCGTGCGTCTGTCGGCGTCCATGTTGTGGACGTGGTCAACATAACTTCAACGGATGAGCTCGAGCTGGTACGTGACTAATTACTACTACTACTACGTAGTAAGTAGTAGTAGTAGTTAGTCGAAATCAACTAACGGACGACTGGGGCGTTTACATAGCGCAAGGCGGTGGGAACAGCAGGTCCTGTGAGTATTGCGTTTCAAGTGGCACCGGACTTTCGGTTTTACAAGAACGGCGTGTACGATTCCACAGTGTGCCATTCTGGCGAACAAGATGTGAACCACGGTATGGGTGTTATTAGTTACTACATTGAGTAGTTGATGTACTAGTAGTCGTTTAACTAAAAGCTGTTTGTAGCGGTGTTGGCGGTGGGATACAACACAACCGAGGACGGACACAAGTACTGGATCGTCAAGAACAGGTATGGAACGACGACCCAGTAGTAGTAGTAGTAGTCTCTCTCTGGAGAAGGGAATAGACCTGCGATGCATGCACTAACTGACCGAGTTAGTTGGTCGGCCAAGTGGGGATTGCAAGGGTACTTTAACATTGCTCGGGACAAGAACATGTGCGGGTTGGCCGACTGCGCGTCGTATCCGCTCGTGTAGTTGAGATATACAGTAGCTGCGTGCTACATTTACACTGCACTTCCAGTTGGCTTAAAAGAACACGCGATTCGGTTTCTTTTATATTTGTACGCGTCGTTTAATTGTGATTGGCCGATATTTCGGTTTTAAGTAAAGTGACGGTTGCAGAATGTTGGTCGATGGCCTGGCCGGGGTAGGGGTCGACATGACTGGTGCAAACTTAGAAATCACGTTGAACAGTGTGCTTTCTCGAATCCGATGGCAACAGCAACCGCAACGACGACACCTGTCAAGTACCGCTTGGTTGAGGCTGAAGAGGTCGACCAGGGTAACCAGCAGCACCACCAGCAGACTTCTTCGTCCCACGACCAAGGCTCGTTCAAAAAGAACAAGCCGTTCAACAACGGTACGCTCGATCCAAGTTGTCGCCAACTGGCTCAACGCGCAACCAACTGTGTATTCTTTGGATACTGTAGATGCCAAGAACAATGGAGCTCCAAGCGGTGCTCGTCGTGGTGGCGGCGGCGGTCGCGGCTGGAAGAATGCTGGCGGACGCGGCGGCCGTGGCGGTCGTAACTTCGACTCGACCCAAGGCGCGTACGTGAACGGCGTGTTCGTCCCCACTACCGACGTGGCGGTCACGGCCGACTACGCCAAAACTCAAATGTACGTTATTCCTCCGCCTTGCACCTCCAGTGTGTCTGATGATGGCAACTCTATCGTAGTGAGTTCTTCTTGTCCCCGGACAACCTCGTGCGCGATACGTTTCTGCGCCAACACATGGACGTGGACGGGTATGTGCCTGTGGCGTTTGTCGGGAGCTTCCAATCGGTGTACTCGATCCACCAAGACTACCCGTCGCTCTTGGCGGCCATGAAGACGTCGACGCTGCTCGAGTACGACGACAAGAATGAAAAGGTGCGGCCCCAAGACTGGCAAAAGTGGCTCTGGCCCACGGCCGACGGCCAGTACGGCGTGCCTCGGTACATCAAAGTACTTGACGACGCCGCCGCCGTCCATGCCGAATAAGTCGCCCGCCCGTCGCACGAACCACCCTCCCCCGAATCCTTCTTTTTGTGTCCATAAAAATATTATTTTGCATTTTTTTTCAACCTTGGCTTTGATTGGTCAATATATGGAACCGACGCACGCCAAAACGATGGCCGCGAACGCGACCTGCATTCAACGCCGCCACATAACCAATGGCCTGGCTATGCGTGCCAAAGAAGCGGTCGCCGTTGCTGGTGGTGGCGATGCCGCTTACGCTGTGTTGGGTTAAGTAAACTTCGTACCAGTGCGACTCGCCATCTTCGAGCGCTTCTGGGACAGTCACGGCAACTTCCTGTAATACGCGGGCAGGTTTGGGAACGCCGTCGTAGAAAGAGAGGTTACGCTGGACACCCGCATGAACGTACTCTTGTTGAAGCGCGACCACCTGTTGAAACATGGACAGCAGGGTTGTCTCGGTCGACGTCTGGCCTTCGAGGACGCTGATGGCTGCTGCAACGGCTTCTAAAGTCGACAAACACCCTTCCATCGGTTCCCTTCGAAGGGTGCCGTAGAGACTCGTAGCTGTTGATTGCACCACGACACGACGCAACGCGCGAAGCGTCGGATCGCGCTGGACTATCTGCTTGGCTTCCTTCCACGTGCCGTCCACCACCACGAGGGTCAGGTTGGGTGTCAAGTCGGCACTGGTGAGGACAGTGGCCGTCGACCCAGGGAACAGCAGCAACACAGACTCGTTCTCGCCGACTGTGAAGGTTGACGTTGTGGTGACTTCGAGCGACATCGACTCCAACGCGTGTCCAAGCACGGGTACGCTCGACAGCGCTTTCCGCTTGAATTCGTTCGGGTGCTGTATACAATGCACTTTAAACTGCGTCACAAGCTTTGGAGATGGAATGAATGCACAATAGCACACACACGGCGGACGATCGCATCGGGCGCACACTTGTCGCCGGTTTGCCGGGGGCATGTAATTATGTTGTTGGTCAAGGAATCCATAATAATGGCGCTCGCATAATGGGCGATTATGATTGGCTGTAAATGCTCGCAAATGGGCCAATCAAAAACGAACGAGGTTTTCCAACAAAAGAGGTGGAAAAACTGTGGAATTGATTAAGATGATGCAGCAGTCTTGGGGTCCGATGCTTTGGCGTCGTCTGTCTTGGCGGCAATGGTTTGGTCGTCCTTGGTAGCAGTAGCAGCGTTGGGCTCTTGACCCACGGAGGGCGATGCGGCAGCTTCCACCTTTTCGGCCGCCGCCGCCGGTTGTTTGGCCTTTTTAAAGTACTCCATGAGCCAAAAGCCCGTAGTGGGTTTGACTTCGCTGACGATTTCATGGACAATATCCTTGACCGAGAGCAGTCCGACGATCTCTTCCTTGGCATCCACGACGGGGAAGTGGTGGAAGTTTCTACGCACAGGCATTCTTACACTAGTAAAAAAACATCTCACCAAAACCCTATCATCACCTTGTCGCAGCTTCAAACACACACGTGTGCAGCGAATCGTCGCTCTTTAGCGTCCACACACTTCGCGTGCACACGTCCTTGGTGAGAACTTGGGACGCGTCTAGCTTGGGGTGCAGCACCTTGGTCAAGTAGTCCCTGTCATGATTTCATATCAGACTGTATCTCATGTGAATGATCTTATGTACCGCTCCGTGAAGATGCCTTTGATCTTCTTGCCATCGTCCATGACCAACACCGCTCCGAAATGGCGCTTGGCCTAGCCATCGATAGATATATTATTCAAATATATATATATCTTCAGCAAATGAGAACTGACCATTTCTGCCACGGCTTCCGCAACCGACACGTTGTCTTCCAAGCGAGTGTTTAAGATCAAATTGATCGTCTCGTGCTTTTTGCGCAGCAACGTCGACGCATTTACTACAACCACCAATTCAATAGGACTTTCATCAGTAGGGAAATAATATATATATATATATAATAAGGGAAATATAAATATATATATAATAAGGGAAATATAAATATATATATAATAAGGGAAATATATATATATAATAAGGGAAATATATATATATATAATAAGGGAAATATATTTATATATATAATAAGGGAAATATATATATATATATATATATATGGTACCTGTGGCAGGGATGATGTCTTTTGTCGGCTCTTCGGGGGACGCTTCCGTGGTTGACTATATATCCATATATTGGTTAGTTCAAGAGTGTTTATATGCTGACGATGCTTCATCGTACCGACGGGATCGCGGTGGCGGAGGTGGCAGTGTTGGTTGGGTCAGTGAGCTCTTGCTTCTTGTCTTCGGCATATGCCTTGATGATGTCCTGAGGATCGGACAGACGAGCCATAGCCAACATCAGTCGACGATGTGTGAAGAAAGATGGAGGAAATACCTTGATCGACAAGACACTGCGCATGGCTTCGATCGGCACCGCGTCGGCCGCCGCCGGTTGCGACGGATCCGTGTGTACCACCGCCAAATGACGGATTTTCTCCTTGTTCATGGTCGCCAGCGCCCTATTCGATCGATGTTGTCGCGTGAGAAGGATACCTATAGTATGCGCGTGTGCGTAGTGGTTGCGTACGCCATGATTGTCGTGGAAGGATCAATGCACAAGATTCGCTTGGACATGATGTCCTTCACTGCCAACTCTTCGTGCTCTGCCGTCTCCTTCCCCTTCACGAGGATGTCGCGCTCCGTGACAATGCCCACAACCCCTTGGTCTTCTACGTCGGACAGAGTCAGCCACATACGTCCCGTGCATGTACTAACGGTACTGACTGACCTTGCGTGACAATGAGCGAACCAATGTTGCGCTGGACCATGAGATTCACGGCAGAATGAACGGGGGCCTACAGACACAACATCAAGACGATTATCACTCTGCCGCATCCACACGAATATCATACATCGTGACGGATGGACTGCCATTGCTCAAAGTGTGGGTGCAGCTCGCCTTGGGCCGCGCTGTCGAGGTTGCTGAAAACTTTTTCACGAGCGGCCAGAACGTCGCCGACAGTGACCGTCGAGACTGTCGGGGCGCTATAAAGCCGGGCTTGGGTTGTCGTGGACCGCAGAAGAAGCACCTTGACGCGTCGATGGAGCATGGCAATGATGATATTCGTGTTTTGGTTGTGCAAAGTCGACAAATCATGTTCGGGGTACGGATACAGACCAAGGTTTTATCCGTGTCCCCTCAACCACAAAATGATTCGGGATTTATTAACTGTTAATCAATTAGTTAACTGTTAATTGTCAATGCAGATGTAGTAGTGGGTTTGTAATAATGTGTTAGCTGGCATGTGCAGCTGACCAATTCCCTACAGTACTGTACTACTAACTACTACTGTAGTAGTTAATACCATTAGCTAGTACTACTACTTCGGTCAACTGTAAGTACTGTACTGTAGGCAAGCTCACATATATTTCAACTTTTATTGTCATAAATTGGAGTGAGGGAGGTGCTCAAATTGTCATAGTCTAACATCGAATTAGTGTGTGAATTAAATTAGTGTGACACTGATGGGCTGCTTTTAGGATCGATTGATAGATTTGGCGAATCAGGACAAAAGTCCAAATTTTGGGTATACGTAAGGACCATACGTTACTCCGAAAACTGAGCTCTTGATATTTCGATCAGGCGAACAACGTGCATCCGTCCAATGCGTAAGTACTGCATCATCCTCACGACTGTTAATGGCCATGTTCGTCGCACAAGATCACCCACAGAGTGCTGCACCATGCAACCATACTGTAGAGCATGAAAAAGAAAGTACTTCTGTACTACTGTAGTATTTGTGAGCTGCATCGAAAGTGGAATCTTCGGGACCAATCGGACGATGGGAATCCGTGAAACCTTCAAGTACAAATTCCCTTATTTGAACTTTCGGACAGTCTATACCAGTATAACCAATATATTAGTCGGAGTATTTGAGTGATATAGTTTGGATGTTTTGGAACGTTATTTGACACGAACCCTTTCGAATGGTACTCCTTATCTTGAATTGAAGTTGAAATATTAACCCTACCGGTTAGTATTATACTACATACTACGTAGTATCAAAACAGTCCAATATATTGAACAAGATATAAGGGAATTCGTTGGAACTTGGTTTCGCGCTGTTTCGTATACACGGACGGCACTTTAAAGATTCGCGATCACTTGCCGATACGACTGACGATGGCTGCTGCTTCATCCAAGGTGACGACCAAATACCCGCACTTGCTCACGCCGCTGGACTTGGGTTTCACGACCCTCAAGAACAGAGTGCTCATGGGCTCTATGCACACGGGGCTGGAAGAAGGGCGCTCGCTCACGAAGCTCGCTGCGTTCTTCTCAGAACGGTAACGATCGGTGATCTGTGAATGTCGAGCTCATTTGATCATGTATGTAGAGCTCGTGGGGATGTGGGCTTGATTGTCACCGGTGGCGTGGCCCCGAATCGAGCTGGTCGAGTGAGTCCCCTCGCTGGGAAAATGACCACGTCCAGCGAAATCAACCGCCACAAGGAAGTCACGCAAGCGGTCCATGGCAACGGGGTACCTCAATCTTCCATCACGACACGAATGACTCATGCAACTTGCAGGGGAAGATAGCCATGCAAATCCTGCACAGCGGACGGTACGGGTACCATCCGTTCACGGTGGCGCCGTCTCCGATCAAAGCGCCCATCGGATGGTTCACTCCCAAGGAACTGTCCCATCGCGGCATCCAATCAACCATCAAGGACTACGTGCAATGCGCCGTGAACGCTCGCGAAGCAGGTTACGACGGCGTCGAGGTCATGGGATCCGAAGGTTACTTGATCAATCAGGTAAACAGACGTCCACCACTCGGTCTTCCAGTCATTCCCTAACTCTCCTGAACTCGCGTAGTTTATCGTCAAGCACACGAACAAGCGCACGGACGAGTGGGGCGGCGACTACAAGAACCGCATTAAGTTCCCCGTGGAAATTGTGCGGCAGATGCGTCGGGCGGTTGGCCCGGATTTTATCATCATCTTTCGGCTGTCCATGTTGGATTTGGTCCAAGTACGAAGTGAATATATATATATACTATGTCGACCTTCTACAGTTATAATTTTCATTCATTCATTCTATATATATATATAAGTTGGTCCACATCGTGCCAGCGACTATGAATATAAATAAATAAATATATATATATTCGATTCGAATTTGGAGTGGGATGAATCGACCAACAAAAAAACACTCAAAACCTCTTTTGAATTGGCCAATCAAATTACAAGGAATCATTTGAGTTTCTATACCATCTTTTCGACCTCAAACACCAAATTTCGTATATATATATATATTTGCCAACGAATATGAATGCACACTCTTGCAATCCAAGTTGTGATACACGAGAGTGCAACCGACTCTACATTTCTAATTGTCGACGTATATTAGGACGGCAGTTCGTGGGAAGAGATCGTCGAACTGGCCAAAGAAATCGAAGCCGCCGGCGCGACGCTGCTCAACACTGGCATCGGGTGGCACGAAGCGCGAGTGCCGACGATTGCGACCAGCGTGCCCCGGGGTGGCTTTTCCTGGGTCACGGGCAAACTCATGGTAACGTCATGTGCTTCTTCCATCAAGAACCATATCTGTGACGACGTTGTATCTGTGACAACGTTGTTTGAAAGTGTGGGATATTGTTGTGTTTATTCTCTTATGAAATCAAAATGCTCGATAGGGCGAAGTGGACATTCCACTGATCACGACCAACCGCATCAACACACCTGACGTCGCTGAAGCCATTTTATCCAACAAACATGCTGGTACTTTGAAATGTATATATATATATATATATATATATCGGCCAAATTCCACAAATTCACACGTGTAGTGTTATGAGCGTCATAGTTTTGATGCGAATTGTATTGTACAAACTGCTATTGTTCTTTTACCCACAATTTGGACGTTTGTGCTGATAATTCGCCAAATCTATCGATCGATTCTTTGTGTACTGAATTTTGTATGTCAAAAGGTGTTGTCCTGTGGTGCTTGGAATCATACTAATTGAAGTATCACACTAATTTGACGTTGATTATGGTTTCCTGCTTTCTGATTGGCTCCATTCTTCTGCCGATGATTTAGAATAAACACAGTACAATAACTACAGTACACATGTGTACAATAACTACACATGTGATGATGATGCTGCTGCTGTTAGATATGGTATCGATGGCTCGTCCGTTCCTGGCCGACCCCGAGTTTGTTCAAAAGGCCAAGGAAGGCCGCGCCGACGAAATCAACACGTGCATTGGGTGCAACCAGGTTTGTATCCAATTCTTCATCTATTCATCTATTCACTTGATATATTTATATTGATATTCCAGGCGTGTCTGGACCACACGTTCAAAGGGATCACAGCGTCGTGCTTGGTGAATCCCCGCGCGTGCTACGAAACCGAACTCAACTACCGCCCCACCCAGTGTACATACAACGATACACGTCAACTAAGGGCTAACTAACAGTTAATTAGATCCGTTAAAGGTGGCCGTGGTGGGCGCCGGTCCGGCAGGGTTGGCGTGCGCAAGCGTCGCCGCTGAGCGGGGCCACGACGTGACGTTGTACGACAAGCACGAAGAGATTGGCGGCCAATTCAACCTGGCCAAGCAAATCCCCGGCAAAGAAGAGTTTTACGAAACCCTGCGCTATTTTGGTACGTATTTTATTTATTTTATTCGCATGATTTTACACATTTTTTTTTGAGCCAATCGAGATGATGATTCACGGTATGATTATGATATTTAGGCAAACAAATCAAGAAACATGGCGTCAAAGTGCAGCTGGGGCAATATGTTGACGCCCAACACTTGATTGACAACCAGTTTGATCGGGTGGTCATGGCCACGGGTATCACGCCGCGCAAGCTCACGATCGAAGGCGCCGCCAGTAGCCCCAAGGTATTATATATATATATCAACATTTAAAAAAATATATATTTCTAAGCGGACTGAAGTTTTTAAAGTCGACTGCCGCCCGCAAATGGCTCTTGTTGGTATTGTCACTTTGGATTATTTGTGTGCTGATTTGCCAAATCCATTTTTGGGTTGAATTTTGTATGTCAACAATATTGTCCGGTATCCACACTTATCAAGTCACACTAATTCGATGTTATATAATGGTTGAAGCGAGATTTTGATTGGCCCGTTGATTCGTGAATGTCTGCCGATTTGGTGCCGCTCATATATATCCATTCAATTTCGAACAATCGAATTGACAATATATAATATCAGGGATACACAAGTTACTACTACTATTACTACTATTCGATATGGCTCCAACCTTACACGGATAATAACAATATTATGTCAGGTGGTGAGCTACGTGGATGTCCTAAACGGAAACGTGACGCTGGGCCACCGCGTGGCCATAGTCGGCGCCGGCGGCATCGGCTTCGACGTAGCCGAGTATGCCACGCACACGGGCACATCTCCCAGCTTGGACATTGACTTGTACGCGGATGAGTGGGGTATCGACCGCACCATGACCAACCGCGGGGGGCTCGCGCCTCGGCACGTCCATCCCCCGCCGATCCGCAAAGTGTACTTGTTGCAGCGCAAATCGACTAAACTCGGCAAGGACCTGGGCAAAACCACAGGGTGGATTCACAGACTATCGCTGCAGCACCGCGACGTTGAGATGATTGGCGGCATCTCGTACGACAAGGTGGATGACCAGGGTTTGTACATCACCAAAACCAAAACCAACGAGCAGCTGCTGCTCCAAGTGGATCACATCGTCGTGTGCGCCGGACAAATACCCCTGCGGGACCTAGAGCCGGCTCTCCAGAAGAGCAACATCCCCGTGTTCCGCATCGGCGGGTCCGACGAGGCCTCGGAACTCGACGCCAAGCGCGCCATCAACCAAGGCTCCCGCCTCGCCGCGAAAATTGAAACGGCCACCCCTGGGGAACCCCTTGGCCCCCTCCCGACCTGGTCCGAGAAGGCGGTGGCGTACACGATGCAGTTCTTTCAGAAATAAGGCTTCAATCCACCGTACAATCCATATATTAATAGTATTCATTTTTATAATAATACTAGTAGTGTAGTAGTACTTTTATTAATACAACTACGTACTAATAATATTAATACTGGTTGTTGTCTATTGATTGATTCGAACTTGTAGTGGTGTCGTTTACAGTTAGTGCACCTCATCTATAAACTACCAACTTTTCACAAAATTTTCTGACTTCTATTTCATATTTACTAGTCAAAATTTCAGCAAATTGAGACGTAGAATCGACAGATCTCAATGTGGTGAAGAAACTCTACGTCTCATTGATGAATCGATCTAGAAATAGAAAATTACTGTTAACCTACCGGTATTGATACTATTTACCATTATTTGGCATGTTGCGAAACAATTGCGAAACACTCTCACAATTTATATACGTGTCAATTATTGTTTTTGTGAGGCCTTGGCCATTTCCAGCAGCGACTTGGTCTGGTCTACCCGACGCGTGTGAACGTGGGGGTAACCACGTCGTAGTAGCACACAAAGCGTGCCTTCC